AGACTGAAACTTCCAGATGATGAAGGGTCTGGAGCACAAGTCTAAGGAGAAGTGGCTGAGGAAGCTTGTGGGTGTTTAGCCTGGGGAAAAGGAGGTTCACGGGAGACCTTATTGCTCTTTGTGACTGCCTGAAAGTCTTGATGGGATGAGAGGAAATGTCCTCAAGTTGTGCCAGGAGAGGTTTAGAGTAGATATTAGGAAATCTTGCTTCATGCAAAGGCTTATCAAGCACTGGAACAGGTTGCCCAGGGAAGTGGTTGTGTAAATATGGCTCTTGGAGACATGGTTTAGTGGTGGGCTTGGCAGTGCTGGGTTAATGGCTGGACTTGTTGATAGAGCTCTTTTCCCACCTAAGTGATTCTATGATTCTGTGATTGCACTTCAGTTCAACCCATAGGCAGAAGTACAGGTAGAGCATTACACACATTGCAAGCATGTGTGTAATTCCACTGCTATTTCTATTTTCACACAGTTAACATGGGGTTTCCCTGCCACATCTAGTGCATGCTTTTCTTGGGAGAGAAGAAAAGCTTTCATACAATTATCCCATATTCAACTTCCAAATTACAGAGATGATGATGGCAGTATGAAAAGCAACACAAATGCTCTATCAAACACTTAAAAAAAAAAATAATTTCTGTTGCTCTGTAATGAACTGCATTAAGACATGAGCACAGAGGGAGGTTATAGTTATTAGCAACACCAATGGGAGAACCCCCCCCTCCCCAATTCAGAGTTCATCTGGTGATGATATTCATCTTCTCCATTACCAAGAATTAATGTCAATGCATGAAATTTTGATCCCTAAGTGGATACTATGATATGGTCTGATTCTCTCTTGGAAAGAAAAGTCTCATAAACATTGTGTAATAATTTTTGTGTTAGTGTCATGATGCTACCATTCTGTTCTTATCTAACAAGAAGTTTGGTCTGCCTTTATCATCAGATCACATTATCACATTTGGATCTACCAGGCTGTATTTATCCCTCTGACTCAATGTACAGGACTCTTGAGAAGAATAAGCTCTTTTGATGCTGCCTACTGACAGCATCACAAGGGAAAAATAAAATAATATTTACAGAAAGAGAGTGTGACAGTAAATTGATGTGCAGAAACAACGTGATGAATCATTTACATGTGACCAGTGTATGCCTGGAGCCTGCTTGTTCCCTGTTCTTTTGTCTTCTCTTCTCTGGAACATCAGATACAGGAAAATATCACAGTGAAGGAATACAAAAAAAGCAATTAAATTTGAACAGCCTGTATCATCTCTGCACTATTGAGTAAACCAAGTAAACATTTAATATAAGATGTTTGAATATGTACATTTGCAGAATTGTTAAGAAGTGAGAGAGAATTCAGATGATCCTGAACTAAACTGCATCTTATTTACAAATATCTTGCTTCTTTGAAAAATTAAAAAGAAAATAACTAGTTGTTGGAAATCTATGGGGGTAAAAGAAAGGAGAAGAATGTGATCCTGTGTCAGATAAAAAGTTCAGCTAAAGTCCAAACACTTTTTTCTTCACGTTATTTGACAAAATGTAGTATGTGGAATCACTAATCCAAGAGAAAATTTTTAAAAGATCAGGAGAAACCAGCTGGTCAAATTAGGAACTGGATACCAGTAGAAAGTAAAGTGCTGATCTTATCACCTTGTTTGGAGATTTCAGTACTGGCAATTCCCAGATGATATATTTTCCAGTCAGTTAACAGTCCTGACACAAAAGGCATCACTTTGATCCTACACATTGAAGAAAATGTTTGATGCAAACCAAAACAGAAAGAACATCTTTCAGTTTGTTTGTACAAAAAGGCTTTCAAGAGAACACGATCTTAAAAACACGGTTCTGAGAAAATCAAGTAACACAGAAGTAGGTCACTTAAAATTATTGAGTGATCTTTGGAAAATCAGAGCTGAACTGGTTTTTTGTAAGTTTGGCAAAACACTGACCTTTATATAGAAAACATCTTTGATCAAAAAGACCTCAACATACCAAAACCTGTGAAAAACAAGTAGCAAGGACAGGGATGCCCCCTGGAGGACTGTCTGCTGGCAACCCACACAGGGGCAGGGACTCGCTGGAGGCCACCAAAGTAATTTTTTTTTACCACTGCAGTTGGCACATAGTTGATTTTCAGTTCTTCCCGATTACCTGAATCCTTATGGTTAATTATCAAGGATTAGTTGAGACTGTTTTGCCCACAATACAATCTAATATAAGCACCCTATTTTTTTATTAATTTGGAGATAAGGAAGGGCATGATGTAGATTTCTAAGGTTTCTTCCCATTATTCAAAATGAGAGCCAGATGCCGGTAGCACAGGTAATCCTGCTCATGTTGCCTTGACTTTATTAACAATAAATCCAAAAGATGGGGAGTTCAGCTGCTGAGCTCTCCCTTCCCTTTTTTAGCTGAGTGAACCTGCACAAGTCAGCTCAAAGCCAACTCAGCTGCATATTTCTTCTGCTAGAGCATCTGCAATTACAGTCAGCTACATTCCAGCTTCAAGAGGGACAAACTCACACAAAAAGATTTGGGTTCATGGAGTCTATCTCTGCAGTGGAAAATGTCAACTCAATTTTCCTCTTCCCTTCTGTAGAGACTCCTTCAAATAAACAGGAAATTGGTTGATGTAATTGCTAAGACATTCTCCATAGTATTTGAAAAGTCATGGCAGTCAGGTATAGTCCCAGGTGACTGGAAAAAGGGAAACATTGCACCTGTCTTCAAAATGAGTAGAAAGGAGGCAGGTTCCTGAGAACCAACATATCAGCCCCATCCCTGTGTCTGGGAACATCATGGAACTCCTAGAAGTTATGTAAAGGCACACAGGGGACAGGGATGTGATTTGGGACAGCTTGGATGCCATCAACAAGGGCAAATCTTGCCTGACCAACCTTGTGGCCTCCTACGATGGAGTGACTACATCAGTGTGGATTAGAGAAGGGCCTTGGGTGGCATCTATCTGGACACATGTAAGACTTTTGACATGATTTCCCACAGTGTCCTTCTCTCTAAATTGGCCACATATGGCTTTGATGGATGGACTGTTCAATAGGTGAAAAACTGCTTGGACAGCCACACCCAAAGAGCAGTGGGCTAAGGCTCAATGTCCAGATGGACAAATGGTCTCTCTCACGGGTCTGTTTGGGATCAGTGCTATCTAATGTTTTCACCACAAACATGGACAATGGGGTTGAGTGCAAATCCACAAGAAACACAGATATTTTTATTAAAGGTTTACAATACAGATAACAGAAGTTGTGTAATAATATGCTACTTATTGCAAAGCACTACCAATTAACATTCAAGCCTTATGGCAAAAAAAGACATTTTTCTTACTTTTTGCTAGTGCTCTGCTAATAAAATTTACTTACTCATATCCTTAAGCTATCAAGGCTACAATATTATTACTGATAAACTTATTTACAGTCAGGTTTCTCAATTGTTGGATTGCAGAAACAGAAAATGTCCCTAAAAATATTTGGCTGTCTGCTGGCAAGTCACAGTATTTTGCCTGTGTGCTTCATGCAAAGTAAAGAAAAAATAATGGCTTCAATAAATTACATAAATTTTGTGAAAGCTGGACTTTTGACTACTGGCAAAACTAAGATCTTAAGTTCACTTAAACATGTTTTTGGTCTATTGGTTAAGACTTTCCAAATATTCATTCAATATTTTAAAATTTTTTGATTGTTGTATGTGAGCATGTCAGACTACTCTGAATCCATCAGGTAGTAATGATGACAGAGGATGTTAGTCCATTTAAATCTAGTGTATTCTATGTTGGTTTTGTTATTTAAGTAATACTGCTGTGAGGTGCAAAACAAGGTATCAACTTCTTCCGAGTGCCTCTTATGCTGTTTAAAAATTAGATCCAAAACCTCTTAGAATGGTGATGACTCTGGATTAAATTTAATGATGGCTATGAGGTGATACAGCTAAACTAACTCAAAATTAAACATAAATTCATATGACCACACAGTCAAATTTTCAACAGAAAGATAAAAAAATTAAGGCACTTCTGTTATATCTAGCTTCATATTCTGCTGATATATAAGCTACATATTTAGCTGCAACACCGTGATGAAACTCCAATAATCCTTTAATTTACAACTTGCAAGGATTTGGTCTTCAATCTTTATTATGCAGTCTATGGCAGAAACAAACAATTTCACATTATAACCTTATTGTTACACAGACTTTAATAATGAAAATAAGAAATACATTTTGGCTGCAGAAAGAAAAAGACAAAAAAAAACCCTCCTGTTCCAGATAGATGTATTTCAGAATACACTTAAATTAATTAAAGTACATTTTCCCCCCAGTTAACAACTGATGATTTATTTACAGAGCAAGTAACAAACAATGTCTAGAAAATGCCATTGCACCACAAATTATCTACATGGATATTCCTAATCTTCATACTAGAAAACAGCTAAGAAGGCATTTGCTGCAGCACATTGTTTCTTCCTGAAATCTTAATGTGTTTTAGCAGCTAATACAAAATGCAGATGCAGACTGTATTATGTTAAATTAGAAAAGCAAACATACTGTGGGTTTGGTTAAGAAAAAGTAGATGTCTAGCAAATTGTTATTTAAAATTTTTTTTTCGAAAAAGGTCTAATGCATTAACTGCTCCAAGTACTTCACATGGGGGCTGTTGTTTACTTACAAATTCAAAATGCTGCTGACAGAGCAGCTGAAATTTGAGAAACTACTTGAAAGAGAAGACATCATCAGCCTGCGCAAGCTGTGACAGGCTTATAGCTACATTCTTATTTACAAAGAAATTTATGTTAATCTATGCTATTTTGGGGATCATTTGACAATCAATAACAATGTAGAATACTTTAATTTACTCATCTCTTAGAAAAAGTGATAGCTCATTGTTTTGACTTTAAGGTACTTTTTAAATTTATGTGAAATAGAAGCAGAAGATGAAGCTTGGAAGGCTTTTTTTTTTTTTTTTTTTTTTTTTTTTTTTTTTTAAACTGCAGAACATGCAACCCTTGCAGAAGATCTCTTGAACTACAAATGTGTTGTTCTATGTGACCTTGTGAGACTTCAGCACGTAACTAACCTGCACAGAAAACACCTCTACAAATAAACTTTAAGAGTAAATAGAGTGTATCCAACGTATAACAACTTCATATACCATTATTTTCCATCCTCAAAAGCTCAGCTTATTTTTCAAACTACAGTTGTCTAGCCTTTGAAGTTTTGTTTCCAACCTCCTTTAACACCACTGTAACTTACCAAGAGCATGTCAAGCTGCTACAGGCACAGTAGCTTTGCTTTAGACTACTGTACGTGCTCCTGGTAAACAGGACTGCTGTGAACATTGGAGCCTGGAAGACCCCCGTGTCTCCTGGCTCTGCTCGCTGTTACATTTCATGCTTCTGTTAAGTGCAATGCAGATGTGCTGCAGAAGCAATTTCTGACAGACTGGAAAAGCAGGCACTTTCCTCTGTGGTATTTTTTTGAGGGAAAGCATATCCTACATATTCCCACTAGCACACTGTGGCAGTGGCAACTGCTCCGAGAGCCATGCAGCAGGAGACCCTGTCACGGCAGTGGAGTAGTTTCAGCTTCTTGAAGTTCCAACTGAAAGGAAAGAGATTGCAAATACAATGAACAATTGCTTGATATCCTCCCACCAACAAGACTCTGCGTGTGTTTTTTTAGGAGAAATTTGTTTCTCATTTGCAGCTACTGTTCTGATGTATAAAGCTGAGCACACAGCCCCGAATAAGGCAAGACTATGCTTTTGTCTGAAGCAACAGAGGAAATGATCACAAAGAAACATTAGTAGGTCTGAAATTTGAATTAGAATATACTTCATATCAAGACAGCTGTTCTCTTTCTACGGTGGAACTCTCTATGAATTTAATGAGCATGGAAAAATTTCACTCCCTTCCTGTATTCTTTCTGTAGCAGTTACAGGGGAATTAGTGCTTTAGTTGAATACATTCTGTGCTCATATCAGAACAGCATCTAACTTTTGGATTTTCACTGACAGTCTAGTTTAAATTCTGTGTGAGGTGAACTTACATCAGCAAACAAACCCAACAATCTCTCAGCCCTGTGTGTCCATAGTCTCCATGCTGAGTCCTACTTGCATGCAGGCACAGTAGCACTATAGATGTTTCCATCAAGAAAACCTGCTTGCTGCATGGCATGTCCTGAAAGGCTGCAACCCCTTTTTGCTCAGAAAATTTTGTACCAGAACCTATTGAGACACTGTGTGGGAAATCAAATGCTGCAAATCAAGGGTTTATGGAACAGAAAGTAGGAAGACACAGATGGAGCCTGGAGACTAACAGAGAATCCATGTCAACGCATATCAGCTAAGAAAGCCCAGTTTTAAGATCTATTGAACTTAGACAAATATTTCATATATGTCAATATCTCTCCAGAAATGGGCTTTTCAAGAAACCAGTACTTTAAAATTATTATTAAAATACAGTATAAATCACAAAGGAGATATAATAATTTTCTAAAAATATACAGGAAGGCCATTCTCTGTTCATACAGGTAGATGTGACTGTGCCAAGAAGCTGCCCATTTTTTCTCATGTTTCTGCAACAGGAATCACCAGCATTCCCCATATTTGTTCACCGTGGGTCATATAGCACAAGGAAAATTAAGAAGTAAGAAAATTCATTTAATCAAAGTAAAACTAGCTTTCAATTCTTTCCTTGTTTTAAATTTAAAACCTTTTCTTGAATCCAATATCCTCTTCTACATGTGGCTGCCAATCCAGGCAGTAAAGGCAAAAGCTTTCAGGGCTGAGCCTTTTGTTATTGGACATAGCTGAGGCCTCATGTTCAGCATATGGGGAGGATTTACAGTTTCCATTAGTGCATTTAGACATTTCAGTAGTTGACAAAAAAGCATCAGAAGCTAAAATTGAAAAGAAGAGTTACACACTAAATAGTCCCAAAGATGTGCCTATACATAATTTCCTCAGTTGCTTGGATACATTCAGGTAAAGCTACTATAAAAGCAGCTATTAAAATGGATCACAAAGAAACTAATCCACTGAAACAAATTAAATTTCCCAGATTTCTGTGATTATTAATAATCCAATTCCCTAATTGTTTAGAATTTTTAGTTATTAACACATAGATACTAGCAAAAACTCAGTGTTCAGGGAAAATAATGATAACGATTGATTTTAAATTCAAAAAATTAAACCTTCTTCTAATCTCAGAGATAAATTGATGCAGAGTCTCTGAGCATCTGAAGTAAAAGCCATTTCAATGTACTTGCCAAGATTTTCATACAAATCAATTAATGTCAACAACATCAAAAACCCTCAGCCATTTTCAAAAGCTACTATTTGGTCCTTCATTCCCCTCCCCTGACAATACTTTGAAATACTTTTTTTCCCCCAGGATTACATCACTCCTTTTCCATGCAAATGAACTTATAAGATTGCATAAAAACTCCTGAAAACTATAAACACTTAATGTAGACCTTTTTGGTAATGCCAAGGAGCCACAGAGTAGGTCCAAGGCCACTATATTAACTCAGAATAATATGAATATTTATGATGTTTCCTGTTGGTGCTTTTGAACTGGTAGAATTCCTCCCAACAAATTAAAGACTTAAGAATGTCTATTCTAAATGCTTTTAAATGCTTTAAGAGTGTTAGGCCTTATGATTAAGCCTTGTAGTTCTCATTTAGCAGGAGAAAAGAATTCTGATTTGGCAAAAAAAATGAAATGTGCCAAGTACTACACAGCCTTGCAATTAGAATTCATACTAATTGCTCTCCAAGGCCTTGTCTATACAAAAAAGACCTTGTCAGTATATCTCAATCAATAGATACACAAGCTAGACTTTCTTTTACAGAAAGCACTTACCTGTAAAAAGAATACCCTGTCTATAGAATTTACAGAATCTCACTGTCTGAGCAAATATTGGTCTGTCTTGGGGTTTATTTTCTTTTTTCTTTTCTGACAGCTAAAGCTACATTCACTCTAGGGCCTTTTGTGTTTAAAATAATAATATAAAAATATTAGGTATTACATTTTTAGTTACTATTCCAGAGAACCTTTTTAGTGTACGTTAGTTCAACGATCTTGTCTCTCGTTCTGATAAAAGCAGACATAAAAAAATGTCTCTTACATAAATATTTGCAGGAGAAAAAAGCTAAATTAATACTAAGTTTTAAACACAGCTTGTTGTGAATGTATTCTATAGATATTGTGGAAAGTGAGAAAGACTGTACCAAATAGCTGCTGAGCTGAACTCCAGGGAAAAGGCCCAGGTCAGCATTCAGGGAGCACACCTGGCAGAAATAAACCTATGGCAGCACCAGCAGCTGCCAAAATAAGGACTGCAGGAATGGTGGTGAGGGAAGTGGAGCTGGCCACTCCAAAGTCTTTCAAACACCTGAACATGCAAAGTCCTGTCCACCCACTAATGAGGACCTGAGCTACCAAGTGCTGGCTTCTTCTCCCTGGTTTCAGGGAAAACTGATAGTTAATTGCTAGGAAGAGCTACCAAAGCAGTCAAACAATTTCTTCTAGCTCTGCATGCACCTTTTTTGTTCCCTGCAGACTTGCTCTTTGCTTTTTCATCATGCAGTTTCCATCTTTACTGCCTCACTCAGACCTCATTCCTTATGTTTCCCCTTCTCCTCACCATTCTTCCTCGCACCTCCACTTCCCTTCAGATTCCTTCCCTTCCCTTCTCTTTATATATGCTTGATTTCTTCATAACAAATTTATTTCACCACTATTCCCTGAAGGAAAAAAAAACCAAAAAACAAACCCTAACCAGCAAAGAACACAACTACAGGAGTAGCTTCCTTCTTATTGCCACTCTCAAGATCACTTCACTTGCTTGCTCCATCCCTGCCCCAGCAGGCTGTCTCTCTTGGTGGTGTAGGCTGAAACATCTCCCTGGGAAACATCATCTTCTATTCTGTGCTTGCTCAGTGCTCAGGGAAACAGATTTTATTTCACTCAGCCTCTAGGCAGTACCACATTAATCTTTTCAATGGGTAGAAGTTTAGAAGGCTACAGCTCTCCGAGAAGTAATATAAAGATATACAACTAAATGTAGAAAATGGGTGCATACATACTGCAATCTAGAAAGCTGGAATTGTACTAGACAGAAAAACAATCTTGCTGTCAGACACATGCACAAAATTGACTCCATTGAGGATTACAAATGCATTATTAACAGATGAATGTAGTACTTTGCTACACCTAGTAAATACTACAACACATATCACATACATATATATTTGCACCTATGCCAAGTTTGGCAGTTCTGCTTCACCACCAGACTGAGCAGGTGCCAATTTCACAGGCTACAGTTTGGCTGTGTGAGTCAGACACAGGTGAACAACACCAATTTTTGATGTTTAATAAAGCTTCTCGCTTTAGCCCTTCTCCCTTTAGACTTCCCTCCTCTTTTGTGGTGCAATTACTGTTTAGTCTCCTTGGAGATGGGAATACTCTTATTTGGGCTATCTGGAAGCAGCTGAGTGTCAGGCAGGTAGCTGCTTTCACAAGAACCCACTGAGTTCTGCACCTTGAGGAGGCAGCCAACTTGTGGCTGAAGTGGCAGCAGTGAGAAACTGTTGCATGAGCAACCAAAGTATATTGCTGAAAGGTAATACGGCAAGGAATGAACCAAGCTTATGCCTTTTGTTCTTATTTTTAAGGAATTACACAGACAACTCAAACTTTTTCTAGTGCTTGCCATGTGCTTGAATTACTTTAATGAATGCTAAGATTTGCTTTCCTGTTTTGCTGAGAGATGAAGCTTGGAAAATCTCAAGACCATAGTCACAGGACCATGGATATTGAACATGTACAAAACAGCTTCTTTGCAAAAACAATGCAAAAATAGGCTGAATAAAAAAACCACAAACAACTCTTGTTATCTGATGTGCCATAAAATCCCTACTTAAAGATTTTTTCTACATGGAAAAGGTATTTTCTTGGTATACCTGAAATGGCAAAATGGCACATTAGTATTTAACATGTGGGTATATATCTTCATATCTATATATATATATACATATATCTAACTCCACCTTATTCACCACATAATTATTTGACACAAGAACTGCATGTAGACAAGCCTTGGTCTATCTCTTGCATGACTTTCAGGACAAACAAAGCCATGTAGGCCTTTGTACATCAATCAAAATGAACAAGCACAGTTGTTTTTTTTTTTTTTTTTTTCCTTCCTTTTTATTCCCTGTTGCAATGGGAGAAGATGAGAGATCTGTATTTTGTCCCACTCCTGTCTCCATCAGCAGACAAGGAGCATGAACAGGTAAATCTGTGTTTTTCAACATGTTGCAAACATCCTGCAAGTGAAACACTGTTCTATGTGTTTTGTACATGCATGCATGCTGGACCCAGTCACTCAAGGTACCCTTCAGAACCCTTGGCTTCTGAGCATCAGGCAGGGCAGAGAACAACTTAGCACCATGCAGGACTGGGGTCTCTGTGTATGCATACACCAGTTTCAAATATAACCTTGAAAGAGTTCAGACCTTCCAAAAGCTACAAATCAGTGTAAGTGGTAACTTCAGAACACATGTCATCTCCAAGCGGGTGGCCTGGATCCAGAGATGACATCTCCACTGCTAGTCATACCTGGTGGTTAGTCCTATCCACAGTGTTGGCAGTGGAAGCATGGTCACGAGTGTTTTGTCGGACTCGGGTGGAGTTTTGCTGCTCAATGGTTGAGGAAGTGGGGATGCAGAACTCTCTGAAACACCTTTTGAAATTCTCATCTAGAAATGCATAAAGGACTGGATTAAGGCAGCTATTTGTATACCCTAGAGCAATACAGAAGTGCCAGGAGACAGTCTGGAAAGTAGTTTCTGGGATGTTGACCAGGGCTTTAATGATAACATAAATGTGGATGGGAGTCCAGCAGACAATAAACACTGCCACCACTACAAGAACCATCCTTGTGATCCTCCGCAGGTTCCTGTCCTTCTCTTTGGAGCCAGATAACATGCGAACGCTCTTCAGGCGTAAAATCATCAGCCCGTAACACACCGTAATGATCAGGACCGGCATGATGAAAGCAAAGATAAATACACAGATTTTCAGGAGGTTCTCCCAGTACCAAGCAGGGTGGGAGAATGTAAGTGTGCAGTCAATTGAGCCTGAGGAAAAGGAAAACAACAGAGAAGAACATTCAGCTCAGTTTTTATTTTGCTTTTCTTTAAACCTTTCTTTAATTAATATCACAGGCAAATATATGAAGACTTTACACCTAAGTAAACATGTAAAATGAAGCAATCTGTGACCTGTCATTTGCACAAACATTGGCAGGATAGAGTGCTGCAAAACATGCATGAGGCGTGAGTTAGGAAAACAAAACCAAATTAATATGCTCTCTTTTGCATATTATGACTTGGAACTTAATGTATACTAAACAAGGAAAAGAGCTGAACTGTCATATATACTTAAACTTTGACTGATTTTCACTTCCACTATAAAACATGGTGAAAAGAAAGATTTTTAAGCCACCATATATGCTGAGAGTTTGGGCATTTCAGGGCAACAGAGAAGAGAACGACATGACGCTTTGGTAACTTTGCACAGTGGAGGGTCTGGATTTATGTTGACATGGTGTCACTGCCCCTTTATGGGAGGTCTTGGAGCACCAGTGGTCCAGAGAATGCTTTCTGCTCTGTATCATGTCCTGTCAGACAGGGTGTAGCATAGCTATGACTGCCAGCTTTCCAGTGGGAGTATCCTGGGTAAAGCACAGGATACTCCTGTGCTGAAAGATAATGCACAACTGCCCCACAGCAGAAGGCAGGTAGGCACAGATGATTTTCCAAACACTACAATAACCAAGTGGGACAGCAAGACTTGCATGGACCCACTGAAGGAGCTGGAGCTGCTTGTTGTAAAAACACAGATCACATGCACTGCTTGTCCAGGCAACTACAGCCAGGTGCAAAATTGCAGAAGGGGCTCATTTGCACTGATACTTGCTTAACACAGGTTAGAGGTCAGTCGTTAATTTGATGCCTCTACACTACAGTGAAACAATGCAGAAAGGAGTTGAAATGCTGAGTACTCAATTTAGGAATGAAAGCCAGACTTACCATGCCTGTATTTAGTAGTTGCCATGAACATAACTGGCAGGCCAATGGCAGAGGAAAGAATCCAGTTGCAGACATTGACAATTTTGGCATTTCGGGGGGTACGGAAATCAAGGGCCTTAACGGGGTGGCAAACAGCCACATAGCGATCCACACTCATGGTGCAGAGTGTGAAGATACTGGTGAACATATTGTAGTAGTCTATGGATATAACAATCTTACAAAGGATGGTACCAAATGGCCAGGTTCCCATCAGGTAATTCACACTCTGGAATGGCAGAGTACTTGTTGCTAGGGCATCTGCCAATGCAAGATTGAAAATATAGATGTTGGTGGCAGTCTTCATTTTTGTGTACCTAGGAAAAAAAAATGGCAGAGCATGTAAATGACCACAACTGACATTATTAAATAAAAGAGAATTCAGTGCATCATCTAAAAGAAGATTCTGTAAAATAATATGCGAGATACTGTCAAAGATCACATTTTCTGCTTTCATCCAAATGACCATGCTATGATTCACCTACATGTTGGCAGTTCAGTGAGACATCAGCTAAAGGGTATAAGAAAAAAAAATTAACTCATGCAAAAGAAAAAGATACACATAGAAGAAACAATATTATAGATGCTAAATAATTGAGAAGATGAAAAAATTGTATGCTTACAGATCAAATACTGTACTATATGGATAGATTTTCTGTACCTGCTGATATCATGCCAAATATAACTATGGTCTGTAGAAATAGAAAATGAATTTCTAGGTTGTGAAGTAGTAATGATGACATTCCAAATGAGCAGCACTTGAGACCCATTTTTTATGTGGATGCTGTACTTTTGCAGTGGTACAAAAAAAGTTTCAATTTAAGTAATGTTCCTGGCCATGCTGCCCTGATTGCTGCTGAGGTTGATGGGCCCTGTGGCTGCTTGGATTTTGGGGGGTCAAATGGCTTGCTCTTTTGATGAAACTTCCTTCCATTTCTGCAAAACTAATAAGCAGAGTGTTTGATCAAACATTTTAAAATTTATAGAGCACTTTTCAAGAGGAACAGCTAATTTCAAAAGACCTGTCAAGGAACCTGCTAGGGAAAGCAAAATGTAAAATACACAGTTTTGTGGGTTTTATCTCTCTGAATGAGATCTCTTCAGAACATGAGTCAGTTGCAAAAAATCCCAATGAAAGGATTGTGTAGGAAATGTGCATTTGCAACTTTTCTTTGGTAGGTTGTGCAGAAATGCAGACTTCATGCTGAATGGACCTAGAAAGCTTTAATGATGAACATTTGAAGTCATTGGTACTGGATCTGTTCTCTCATTTTTAGCACTGTGCATGAGAAGGCAGTAACAATCCTAATTTCAATTTAGGGTGTTTTTTAAAAACAGATTTTCAAGTAGATACAAATGCTATCTTGACTTCTGCCTTGAGAAAGTATGATCTGAATATGATACTTTCAAGTTGTAAATAAATTCCATATTCTGAAAGTCCTGTAAAAACTTTTCTTACTTCATTTATATAACAAGTTTGTAACTAACACAGGGGGAGGTAGATGCTGCAAGAATCTACAATTCTCTCTTCTGGACACTGGAAAAAATATACAGGATTGCAGTGTGGGAGAGGTACACAATAAAAGCTACAGCTCTAAAAACGGAGGGAGAAGAAAATATTTCTCAGGCAATTTGCAGAAGAATCTTCCAGATAAGAATGAAAGCAGCAAGATTTATATTTTGTTATGAATATCTCTCCAAAGGTCTGAGATATCCAGGAGTAGCTGAAGGTGTGTCCAGAGCTAACCTGAAGGTTTGATTGTGTTGTGAGCAGACATATCCAGCTTGCTCCCACCTGATCTGCCCCAGAGGGGCAGTGGCTCTCAGCTCTGCACAAACAGGCAAAGATGACGAGGCATCTGTGTGCTCACCCAGGCTGCTGATCCCTGCTCAGACCTTAGATGGTTGCCTGCCTTCTTCACAGCTGGACAAGAGAGCACACTTGGGAATGCTGCTCAGTGCTGCTGCCCTCACACGTGATTCCGGGACAGGTCTGTCTAGAGAGCATCCTCAGATACTGATGACAATGCTTTGTTATCAGTAATTAAAGCCATTATGATTTAAAAGGAATGCTTGACACAGCAAAAAAGTCCAACCATCAACCAATATGTAAATGACATTCAGGTTAGCATGAGAGAGGATGGACAGAAAAACACTCTGAATAAATAGAATTAAGTTTCTTCACTGGGCATGGGCCTTATCCCACTTAAATGCTGCATATTTTTCAGTTTTGTAATCTAATTTTCATTGTCAGTTTAATTTTAAAAGTTCTTGGACTTGATTTGTTTAATGGCCTCTATAGACCATTAGTGAAGGATTTTGCTTGATGTACTCTGTAATCTTTGTACTTCTAATCATGCTGTTATTACAATGAATAGAAGCAGAACTCTTATGGTGATAGAAAATATTTACCTCCACCTGCTGCCTAATCAACAAAAGCCTATTGAAATTCACAATATTCTCTTCAGTGAATTCTATGAGATTTGGGTGTTTCTCTGTACAGACTACTTAAACTTTTTAGAAGGGGCTTATTTCTGCAAGGTACATTTTATAAAACATGTATTTTTCCAAATAAGTAGATTATCAGTGTCCCCAGGATTATTTTTAGCATGAACAAATAAATACCAAAGCAATTGATTAAACATAATTTTAACAGCATGAAAAGTAACAGTCAATCAAAATGAAGCTTTTCAAAGTCTTGATCTTAGCTGTTATTATACTTTTTGCTAAGGTATCAGTCTACTTATTTGAACAAGCAGAACAAACATTTCCATTATCGAGACACAGATCTGTATGTGATTCTATTTCTACAGTTGAGAGGGACTTAGTAACACCAAAATTTATAGTGCAATACCAACATTTATAAATGCAATCTTTTAAAATACCGCTTCCACACTTTCATTCAAACTTACTGGTATTTAGATTACATTGAAATTTAAGTTTTTAAAACATCAGGTGCATTAAATTCTGCACAACAAAGAGCAAGGTTGCAAATGAAGACAGAAGTCTGCTTTGGGTGGCCTTAGTTTTATTTTACAACTCTGCAATGAAAAGACCAATAGAATGTGATGAATCAGGGGCTTTTTGTGAATATTTAGTGCAATACTGCTCTTGGTATATATCCAAATCAATTATGCTCATTATAATACTGGCACCTATTAGTATACCCCTCCTAATTCCTCAGTGCAGGTTTTGTATAATAAAATATCTGTTAATGAACTGTTGTTTTGCTGATAATAGTAGATGATAAATCAGGTTTACAACAGCAAGAATACACTTTATGCCTAATTTTTTAGGGAAAGCTCAGCCTTGTCTTTATCTTCAATCCTACAAAGCTTTAAAGCAGAGTTCAAGTTTGAAGACCTGAGCTGTACAGGTCCACTCAACTGAGATTTGCTTGGAATAAGAAAAATCAATGGAGAAAAGAGCAAGGATTCAGCTCAGATTGTCACCATGTTCCTAGCATTTAAGGATTAATAGAAAGTCATGAAATGGACCCCCCCATCTATCTGCCCATGGGCCACTTGTAGTTTGTAAACCAAATAAAACTTTCACCAGATTAACCTCAGAGAGACTCCAGCTCCCAGGTGTAACAGCACCATGGACAGGAGCCAGGAGCCCCTTCCCTTCCACTTCTCATGCAACAGGAGGGATGTGAGCATGTTTGTGACTCTCTGCAAAGACACCTGCCACAGCCCTGTTTCTGGCCTGTCCCCTCCAATAGTTTAATTACCATATCCAAATATTTTTAAAGAGTCTCTTCTTTTAAGCTTCTTAAAATTTAATTAAATCTTTAATTTGCATCATATCTTATTTAGGCCTCACAGACTTTTTATACTGCTATTGTAGTCTATACGACCAATGTACTCATGTCCCTACTGCTCCCTGGTCAAGAGGTTTACATCCATGTGGATTGTTGAGATATCCCCTCCTCCAAAGCCTTCTGCCCTCCTGGACCAGATTAGCTTTATAGCATCTTTGGACCAGCAGGCTGGTGCAAAGAACATAGAGAGATCCACATTTAGCTCAGTGTTATACAGAGAATAATAATAATAATAATAATAATAATAATAATAATAATAATAATAATAATAATAATAATACATATAAACTATTTTTATATTCTTATATTATTATCATTATTATAATTAATGATAATGATGCAGCTCAGAATAATACATAACATTACAAATTAATTAAAACAATTTCCTCTGAATAACATCAATGAGGAGAAAAGAAGAAAGTCTTTTGCACTTAGGAAATGGGCTGGTCGATGACAGACTGGTAATAACTACTTTCAGCAACACAAAAGCATGCAAGGTTTTGCCCACAGAATGCTAATTTGGAGACAATGACTACTTCAAGAACTGTTTAAGTTCAGTGCAAAATACACAAAAAACTGGACAAAATCACTGGAGATTCACTGCAGAAAACAGTCACCCTCAAAAATGGTTTGGCTGCTGAAAGAAACAACAGCCAACAGTTAGGTCTTGCATACAGACAACCTTACAGAAAACTCTTCTTGATGCTGGAGACTAGGTTAGCATGTCAAATTCATGGTCTTCTTGCATAAATGACTTGTTAAACAAATGAAGAATCAATATGTGCATACATTAGATTAGTTGAAGTTATCTTGGGTGGGAAGATTAAAAACATGTTAAGCATGCCTAGTTGAATCAATCTAAATTATATTTTTTCCCCATGACTGTTCTGGTGCACCTTGTATATGCAACTCAAAAACAGTAGGAAAAAGGGATTTTTTGGCATGTTTTCTTGAGATATCAGGTAATTTCAATTTTTCTTGAGCCTTTAAATCTTTGAACAAAGTCATGATATACTCAAGGTAATCTGTAAAACCCTGAAAACTTTTTCTGTCTGCCAATTCAGTTTTAATATTTAACACTGAAATAAAGTCTCTCAAGCCACATTCTGGAAAGTACCTTTGAGCTAAAGGGTCTCAAATGACGGACTTTACTGACATCCATCTATTTGATTATCCTTTTCTTCCCATGGCAATGGGCCTCCATAGAGTGAAAGACCCATACTGTATCTCAGCCACAGCTGTGACATGTGCTGTGGCAGGCCATAACCTATTAAAAGTTTTTAAGTCATATATATTCTGGAAAGGTCTAACCTTCCTGTCTGTGAGCACATGATTTAATCAGCTTGAAAATTTAAGTCTTTGATTTTTCTATTAATGGGTACTTCTGAATCCTTATTCCTTAAGCCATTTAATTTCATCTCTGGCTATAAGCACCATGAATCTGTGCACAACCCTGACAGGTTATTAGGCAGTAAGGCCACTCTGATTGGAGGT